CCAGCACAGCTAAAATCAAAAAAAAAAAATTCAAGCTTCATAATCATCATAATCAAAATGTGCTTCTTGCTTCTTCAGCATCTTTATGGAAATAATCAAAGAATCAAGTTTTATCATCATCCTTCGGGAGGCAAGGAGAGAGAGGTTTGTGTTTAGCAAGAAATGTAATCAAGCAAAATTGCAAGAAATAAAAGCAAGAACTCAAAAGAAAAAAATTGAAACAAAATCAACCAATCACCGAATCAAAATCCATGGACAAGAAAAGAACCCAGCTCGTGGGTTCGCCTTTTTATATTTGATTAGGCAAAGCAAAGGTAAAAATTTATTTAACCTATTTTAATAAATTGTTAATCTTTAAATAATTTATTTTTATACTTAACAATTAATTTAATAGTTGATTTTGTTTAATTTATTAAATTTTATTTAATACTTAATACATTAATTAATATAATTATATTATTCATTAATATATTTAACTAATTTGAAACTTGATTTTATCTATAAAATATATGTGAATATGCATATGAGACTACATAGATATTTTATATAAAGTTATCATAAGTTTTTGTCAATAGTTTTTAAATTAAGAATCAACTTTTTTTCAAATAAGAGTAGACTTTTTTCCAAAAAGATTCGACTCTCATTAAAGAGAGTCGACTATACACAGCACTCAAAATGTTCTCAACTCTCTGGAATTTGAGAGTCGAATGTTCACCATATATAATCGACTCTTGAATACTCGAAAGTCAAATCTTTGTAGCTAGATTCGACTCTTTATTTAAAGGTGTATATATATATATATAATGGCATTGACCAACTATTAGTCAAAGTGGTAATATCAGCAACAAGGGATATGTTGCTGATGTTTGGTTGGTTAAAAAATAAAAATAACAGTAACATAGTATATGTTGCTAATACTTTAGGTGTGGTTGGAAAAGTTTCAGCAAGATAACTCTTGTTGCTAAAAGTCACTTTCAGCAACAAGGAATATCTTGATGAAAGTGGAGCTTAATTAGATGGGGAAATGATTGCCAGAAAATATCAGCAACATGAGGTATGTTGCTGAAATTCACTTTCAGCAACATACTCTTTGTTGCTGAAAGTAGAACAACTTTTTAGGGGAAAAATGTACTATGCAACTTTCAGTAACATGAGTCTTGTTGCTGATACAAATTTTCAGCAACAAAGGATCCCATGTTGCTAATATATTGTTGCTGAAGGATCCCATGTTGCTAATATATTGTCGCTGAAGGCTTGAATTTTAGTAGTGGCAGCTTAAGGTTTCTCTTGACGCTTGTCAATTTGGTCAAATAGAAAAAGAAAAATAAATTGAACCATTGGGAGCAGCGGGTCTAAAAACCATCCAATTGTCATGTAGTATTTGGTACTAACTGGTGTTTAACTTAGCCTGGACTAGGCATATCAATCATTCTTGATAAAATTTAAGGTGAAATAGGAACTAATTCACCAAATTTAGATTTGCAACCTTAAACCACAAAACCCTCGCTGACTAAACCCCACAAATTAAACAATGAACAAAATTCAAGATTTAATTCATATGAACTACAAGAAAGATTAAAAAGAAAATTACCCTACCATACAAAATGAGAAACCCAGAATCGAAAACAGATCTACAAGCATAAACTAAGTAAACCAAATTCGAGAACCAGAAGCAAAATTCATTAACAAAAGCAAAGCCTGCCCAGGAGAAAGTGGGTACCTGAGAAAGAGAAAGAGGGATGATAAACTCTGCTTGAATCGAAGAGGATGACTTGGAGTTCTCAGGCGAGTTCAAAGAAGCAGTGACGAAGTGTATAAATAGATGAAGAGTCAAAATACGCAATTGGGGCTAGATTCAACGGGTGAGGTTGGGATGTGGAACTGTGGGTTGGGAGGCGAGTTTCCAGGGAGTAGCCTGGCTTCTGGAAGGAAGAAGGAGTCGTTGGTGGCTGCGACCGGGAAGAACGCGTTCATCTCTTTGTGTCCCGTTTGATGGCTTGACAACAGTTGGAATTGGTCATGTGATATACCAGCAAGTATGTGCCGATGAAAGGGGCGAGGATAATTCATTGATTTTCCCAGCAATGGGAGCTGCTAAGGAAGCAGATGTCACTTTCCTGTGCATCAAAAAAAAAAAAAGAAAAAGGAAGCAGATGTCACCATTGTTACGTATATAATTAAGTATTTTTTAATAATATATTTATTATTTATATTATATAATATTTACTTTATATATATATATACTTCACTTTAAATGGATGTGATGCGGGTACGGTTTAAAAACTTGAA